GGATTTTGCTAGAGGGCGCATGCGCTCGCCAGAAAGACACAGAGAGACAGAAAGCAAGAAATCACCCCCCAGGGGGGATGGCCACGCCTCAATCCCTTCTCCTCCATTCTCCTCTTGGGATCTTGGGCACGCACGCACATGCACCCAGTGTGAGTTTAAGCCACCGGGTCCAGGACTCGAACCGTGGTTGACTACATGGGAGTTCAGCAACATAGCCATTACTAACTGCTGGTCCCAGGAAATAGAATTCTAATAACTGTATCTCTTTGGCACTTGGTTCAGATGCTGGATGGAGTAATCAACTGAGTGGCAATATTTGAGATAAAAATTTTTTCTCTTCCTTGATCTAGCATGAGCTCTCAGATGGAGATCTGGATCTGGATCTCGTTGGTGAAGATGAAGTAAATCACCTTGATGGCAGCAGTTCCTCTGCGAGCTCCACAGCCACGAGTAACACAGAGGAAAACGACATTGATGAGGAAACTATGTGAGTGCCCCCATTAACCACCCTGGAATGCATTTAAGTGGTGATGACTAGAAACATGAGCTCAGGCTTACTTGTGGGTATATTCTATAGTTTTCTTTTATATGGAGTATCTTATATAAATTAAGGAACTTAAAGGAAAGACTGCATCAGTAGACAGCCAGTTGCCAATTTCCTCCCTCTCATCTTTGAGTTCTAAGCCAAGAGTTTTTTTGTTTAAAAACAAATTTCAAATTTTATTTTAAAAATTATTTCATACTTAAGAAAAGTTATAAAATTTCCTTATTACCTTTACACAGATTCATTTACCAAATGTTACTATTTGCTTTCTTAGTTTTTCTCTTTCCACTCTATGTATTTCTTTTCTGAAACATTGGAGGTTAAGTTACTACACTTCTCATAGTGTAGTTTCTAAAAGAAAACATTTTTCTTACGCAACTACAATACAGTTAGCAATGTTTGAAAATGAACGTTGATATATTGTAACCTTTGAAAATTTTGCCAGTAGTGTCCTTTGTTGGATCCAGACTCCAATCCAGAATCATAGGTTGCATTTCTTTTTTGTTGTTAAATCTCTTGTCTGTACTAGTATGGGTCACTTTTTTTGTTTAATATTTTCTTTTATTTTTTTTCTTTAATTTTTTTCATGTCTGGCTTCTGAGAAATACTGAGTAGTTATTTTGTAGAAAGTCCCTTAATTTGGAATGAGTCTGATATTTCCTTGGTAATATTAAGGTTATGCACTTTTGGTAGAAATATAGAAGTAATTATGATCTGGGAACAGCAGATGGCATAGCAGTTATGTTGCTGGACTCTCACATGGCCAACTGTGGTTCAAGTCCTGGACTCAGTGGCTTCAGATTCATGCCGGCACATGTGTGCCCAAGATCCCAGGTGGAGAAGGGATTGCGGTGTAGCCATCCCCCCTTGTGGGGTGATTTCTCACTTTCTGTCTCTCTGTCTCTGTCCATCTCTCCAGTGAACGCACTTGCCCTGTAGAAAAAAATCCCCCCCCCACCCCGCCAAAAACAATGTAATGATTATGTATCTTTTCAGTGCATCATATGGGGTTGGGGGAATTATATGACCTCAGTCTGTTCCATTACTGGTGATTAATTTTGTTCAGTTGATGTTGAGGTAGTGTTTGCCAGATTTTTCCACTCTAAAATTACTATTTCTTCCCTTTGTAATTACTAAATATCTTGTGGGGACATTTTTAGACTATAAATATCTTATTTTCCATCCTATTTTTGCCTGCTAATTTTAACATCCCTTGATGATTCTTGTTTGAGAAAGATTACTGCTTGTTGCCAAATAATGATTTTTCTAATTCCATGCTTCCTTCTGCATTCATTACTTGGAATTCTACTTTAAGAGAGTACTTTGCCGGGAACCAGCAGTTCGTGTAAGGCTATGTCGCTGGACTCCCATGTAGTGACCGTGGTTCGCATCCTGGACCCAGTAGCTTAAAACTCACGCCAGGCACGTGTGAGTGCGTGCCCAGGATCCTGAGAGGAGAATGGAGGAGAAGGGATTGCGGCGTGACCACCCCCCGGGGGGTGATTTCTCGCTTTCTGTCTCTCTGTCTCTCTTTGTCTGTCTGGCGAGCGCACGTGCCCTATAGCGAAAAACCTCTCCAAAAAAAAAGAAAAATTAAAAAAAAAAAGAGAGAGAGAGTACTTTGCCTTCTGCCCCATTAATTGATCAACTTACTTATTTTATTAGTACGGACGCATGGAATGCATGGATTTTTAAAAATTATTCATTCATTTAATTTGACCAGAGAGAGAGAGAAAGTGGGAAAGCAAGCCTCCTGGGACTCGAACTGTGGTTGGCCATGTGGGAATGTCCAGCACCTTAACCACTACACCACCTGCTGGTCCCATTAATAGAGACATTTGCTATAGAGTGTCTGTGCTAGCTGGTCCCATTAATAGAGACATTTGCTATAGAGTGCCTGTGCTAGCTGGAGAGACAGAGACAGAAAGTGAGAAATTACCCCCTGGGGGGATGGCCGTGCCACAATCCCTTCTCCATTCTGTTCTTGGGATCTTGGGTACACGCACGTGCACACACCCGGTGTGAGTTTTATGCTGCCAGGTCTAAGACTCGAGCCACAGGTGACTACGTGGGAGTCCAGTGATGTAACCATTATGCTATCCAGATGCTTATATTTTTAATGGTTTAATCTGTCACTGTCATTACATATTTTATTGTTCAGATTATCCCAGATTTGGCCAGTGGTTACCTGCTGTAGCTAACGCTTTTGACATGTCCCCATCATATATTACATATTTTTTTAAATTCCTGTACTACAAGACATTCCAGGTTCATCTTGTTCTTTCTCTATCATACTTCTGGCACAAAAAAATAAGGTAAAACCGTTTTTTTTTTTTAAGAGGTTTTTGCTTTACGGTGTGTGTGTTTGCTGGGGAGAAACAGACAGTGAGAGAGAAAGTGAGAAATCCCCCACAAAGCAGTATGGCCATGCGGCAGTCCCTTCTCCTCTTTTCTCCTTCTTGAGCATGCATCCACACATGCCCAGTGTGATTTTCAGGCCACCAGGTCTGATACTCTAACCACGGTTGGCCACGCGAGAGTCCAGCGATGTAGCTGCTATGCCATCTGCTGGCCCATAGGGTGAGACTTTTAACATCCTATTTGACTCCCCTCCATGCTCAGAAATTAGGTAAAACTAGATCATTTCACAATGTTTCCCTTTTTAGCCCATGTAAGAGTTTTTTGTATTTTGATTTTTTTTTTTTTTAAGTATCAGAGGGTATGTGTGTCTGCCAGAGAGGGAGAGGAAGAAAGCACCCCCAGTAGAGTGTGGTCATTGCTTTAATCCTTTCTCCATCCTATTAGGATTTGGGGCACATACTTACATAGCACAGCATGTTTTTCTTAATGTACTTTTTTTTTTTTTTTAGGTTTCTTGCCATAAGGTTCATGCATTTACCAAAGAGAGACAGAGGAAGTGAGAAATCCGTCCCCGGGGGGTATGGCCATGCTGCTAACCCTACTCCTTTATTCTTTTCAGGATTTCGTACTTACATGCACGCACACACGCCCGGCGTAATTTCCAAGTCTCCGTGGTCTGTCACGTGGACCGGCACTTAACCATCACACCACCTGCTATTCCCACATAGCATGTTTTTCAAGCCTCGGGGGCTGGAATTCAAACCACGTGGTCAGCCATGTTGGATCTGGCTCCTTCAAGCCCTAGGCCACGGGGCCAGCCCAGGAGTTCTTTATATATTCTAGGTATCAGCCTTTTGTCAGATATATAGTTTACAAATATTATCTCCCACTCTGTAGTTTGTGTTTAAGTTTGTTTTATTTTTCCTTGAGAGAGATGGAGAGATACAGGCACCTCTCATAGGATCTTTGTGCTGTGATCCTCTCCCTAGCCTTAGCAGCCAAGATTACTGGCATGCCCCACGTGAGCATGGAGACCTTGGGACATGAACCTGGGACCCAGTTGTACAGCTTACGCGTCACAGAGCATCGTGTTACTGTTGTGCCACCATGGGTAGCCAGTTATAATAGTTTCTTAGTTCATTATTTAGGATTTTTCTATATAGAATCATGTCATCTGTGAATAGATTAAATTTAGTTTTCCAGTACAGTAGCCTTTTATCTTGTTTTCTTGCCTAGTTTCTCTGGCCAGAATATCCAGTGTGGTGTTGAATTGGCAGAATGGACTTTCTTATCTTGTTCATAATCTTTGAAGAAGATTATCCCCTCTCTCCTGATTAAGTATCATGTTAAGTGGGGTTTTTTATAGACACCTTTTATCAGGTTGAGGAAATTCTCTTTTATTCATAAATTAAGTATCCTCATGAAATGATGTTGGATTTTGTCTAATGCTTTCTGTATCTGTTCAGGTGACCGTAAGAGTTTTTATTTTTTATTCTGTTCATATGATACATCAGTTGATTTTTAGATTTTAAACCAAATCTACATTCTTAGTATAAATTCCACCTTGTCTTGGTTTGCAATTCTTTTTATATGCTGCTGGATTCCATTCGCTACTATTTTTTTTCCAGATGCCTGTATTTTATTGACACTGTCGATTTCCCACAAGAGAAAATCTCGAAAAGTCACTTGTTTTGCTTTCAATGAAAGGAGCCCTATGTTTATATTCCTGAATCCTTGACAAAAGCAGTAGCAACAACAGACTGCCACACTTTATTTAAAAAGCAATGACTAACTGAAGCTCTCATCTCCACACCCTTGTCTGTCTGTTCAATGTCAGATCATTGTCAGCTCCTTTAAAGTAGCTTCTCCTTCTATTTTGGTTTTACTACCATAAGAACTGAAATTTTCAAGCAGAAAGAAGTCTAATTACAAAGGAATGAGTGACTCCTGTGTGATTTTCAACTGTCTGTTCAATCCACACTGCAGAGATACAGGGATTAAACTATCATTTTAGTTCCCAAGTTTTATTCAAGAACTCATACACCATTTCAGATACATGAGTTTTAATCCTCATCTTCCTCCTCCTCTTCATCCTGGTTAATCTGGAAGTAACGTAATTCATAGCTCTCTTTGCTGTTAGCACCTGCGTGCGACCAATCACGTAGATTATTATTCTTCAAATATTTTTTGGTGAGATATTTTTAAATCTCTTTGGAAAAAGCTGCCTCAGAAGTTACGGTGATCTTGCTCTTGCTCCTTTTAATGGTTAAAACCTCTCCACTGAGATTCCAACTTTTCCATTCACTTTGATTCTTTTGGAGAAAAACTGCACAAAATTGGCAGCATCCATGATTCCATCTTCTACAAGGTAGGTGCAGTCAAGGGTAAACTTCAAAACCTGCTTCTTTTTTTGCACCCCTTTGCCACAAGCTTTTTCATGGGCGCTGTGGCGGCATTGGAGGCAGAAAGCACTACTATTTTGTTGATGCTTTTAATTGTATTGCCTGTTCCTCCAGGGTTCTGCGTTTTATAGCTTCTTTTCCACCTAGGCAAAAGCTTCTTCTTTTTTTTTTTTCTTCTAACCAACTGAGTTTTATTTGTGTATAGACCACCTAACATCTTTCAGGTGAAAAAATACTAAATTTGTTCTTTTTTTGGGGCGGGGGGGAGGTTTTTGCTATAGGGCACGTGCGCTCGCCAGACAGAGAGAGACAGAAAGCGAGAAATCACCCCCCAGGGGGGATGGCCACGCTGCAATCCCTTCTCCTCCATTCTCCTCTCGGGATCATGGGCACACACACACACGCACTGAGCGTGAGTTTTAAGCCACCGGGTCCGGGACGCAAACCGCGTGGTTTACTACATGGGAGTCCAGTGACATAGCCTTTACGCTAACTGCTGGTCCCAAAAATGCTAAATTTGAATAAAGATATTACAAAATGAATTAGAGCCCAATAAAAATAAGCTTTGGGGAGGGAACACAATTCTACTCAGTTAAGGCAAACATTTTTATAGACCATAAATTAGTTTGTTTGTTTGTTTATTTTTGAGAGGTTTTTGCTATAGGGTGCATGCGCTCACCAGACAGACAGGCAGAGACAGAGAGATAGAAAGTGAGAAATCCCCCCCCCCCAGGGGGGATGGCCACACCATAAT